TAGACAAGGGTCAAAAATGGGAATGGCTGACTATTTGTCTCGGTTTCCGTCCGCAGAGGCGCCGCCCGAGACAAGTCATTACGATGAAAATTTTACAGTAGCAAAGATAAGAATGATAAACGCGGCGTTGAGGCCCAAGGATAAAATGAAGCCTAGGGGTCAAGAAGTGAATAACATTAAGCAAAAACCGACGGTAGGGGGCGAACAGTCATGTTTCGACACAACAAAATCAGCTTCATCCAATGAGAATGAAAGAAAAGACGATTATGCAAATATTCACCGTGATCACAAACGCTCAATAGAGGGCGTGTTTACATGCAACCGACGGTTAACCAATCAGCGTCGAGATATTTGCATACCGGCGGAAATATGCAAATACCAAAGAACGAGATTCAGACTTTGTTCTCATTGCTTAAATTACAGTTGCAAACATAAAAAATTGATTCAATACTCTCGAAACCCTTCCATTTCAACTAACTACAATTGCAAGCCTTCTGCGTCGAAAATTTACAGTTGCAAACCATGCGTCTTACAAGATTACAGAGAAGAGCCACTTACTTTGAAGAATTACAGCAGCAAAGATTACAGTGAAAAGCCATTTACTTTGAAAAATTACAGTAGCAAAACCCTAATTCGAAATAACTTGAGTAACCCAAAATATAAAAAAAATGAGTAATTCGCCAGAGAAAAATGATCCTCCAACTTCGGCAATAGTCAACACATCAACTAATTTGGGAAATGTTAATCTAAATGTTGTACTGAACCGCCTAAATCAACCTCCTAGCGTTAGTTCGGATTCCGATATTGAAATGATACCACCCGAAAAACTTGGTATTAAACAGACTAATTCTAAAAAACTAAATACAATTATATCTTTTCCACATCAATTACCCGGTTTATCGTACCCACTTGTACAAAATGAAAAATGGATCTACTCTATAGTGCCATCGGATAGTAAAATAGTGAAGAAAATTGAACACCCGGAAGTTTTGAATTTAAAATTGATTGAAGCAAACATTGAAAAAGACCCAATTATGAAGACCATCCGAGATAACATCAGAGACAAAAACCCACGAGCAAAGGAGATTGTTACAAGATAAGGACAATACTACGCCCAGCATTACAACGATTTCGCAGTACGTGAGAATTGCCTGTGGATGGACGGCCGGTTAGCAATACCGAAGGACCTATCATCAGCAATTCTGAATCGCCTACATTATAATCATCATGGGCGGGATAAGATGTTCGCGGCCGCAAAGGACGTGTGGATTCCCCTTATGCACCGAAATATCGCGGCCACAGCTAAATACTGCAAAAGTTGCTTAGAAGCAGGTAAAAAGCTTAAACCGAACATTCCGAAAAGTGACATGGGGGAAACGTATGTTCCTAAGGAACCAAATGATTTGGTCCAATTAGATTTCTGGGGTCCAGTAAACTATATAAGGGGTCGGAAAAAGTATGTGCTTGTAGCAGTAGATACTTTCTCGCATTGGCCGTCGGCGTATGTTTGTTCAAGCAACAAATCAAAAAATGTATTGAAGTTCATAAGGAAGTACATAAATACTCATGGACACCCAAGGAAATTGCACATGGATCAAGCCACGGGTTCAAAATTTCTGTAACTACGAAGGTATTGAACTTATGAAATCTCCGGTTAGGGACCATCGCGCAACAGGAATGGTTGAACGGACTATTGGGTCGATAAAAAATCACGTGTTGACTTATCTCCAGGAAAATAAAAACTACAAGTTTGGAGCGATGATATCCCGTGCGCTTAGTGCATTACGTTTCGTGCCACATTCTAAAACTAAACTAACGCCGTTCGAAGCATACCATGGTCGAGAAGCAAATACGGCACTGCGAAATTTAACGAAAAAGTCGTCATTGAAAAACTTAAATTGGAACAATGTTGTGAATCAAAAGTTATCTTGTTTAGACAAGGCGGGAAACCTCCCGGAAGTTGAACTTACCCTAGATTGGGAGAAGAGAAGTGACTTAGTGTACGCCCCTCAAAATAGGAAAGCTCCAATCATTTTGGATGATGACGTGGTAGCGTATCCCAAGGCTCCGGAAGTTGTTGACCCCAAGGAACTAAGCCCACCCAAGACCCCAACATGGCTGAAAAAGCACAAATTAAGTTCAACGACGGTGTATCAGAGGACCGGGAAGACGGGTCCAAAGGACCCAAGGAGGTATAAACGTTTGCCATTAAAAATTGAAAAATTGACTAAGCATACGGTGCAAATGAAAAAAGGGTCGTTACTAAGGCGGAGTGGTGTGTCATTTAGATCGGCGGCTGAAGAAAGCCTAATTGGGAATAGAAGCGGGGAGTGCACCCCTGGACCGAGTAGAAACGTAACTAGTAAACCGGCCCCAAGCGAATCAAACAAGTATAAGCGAAAAGCCGAGAAGGACCGAACCGCAATGGAAAATGCAAGAAAATCGACAAAACAGCGAATAGTGGAATACTCGGCGGACGAGAGCGAGGACGACGACGACGACTACGATAGTGAGTGGGAAATCGGACGAAGGGAACCAACCATAGGTGCGGCGAACGAAGGACAGGATGTACCGTCGGTTAGGGAGAATTCACCACGATCCGTCGGTGGAAAACGAAATAAAAATCAGTACGAAACGGCGACGCGGAAATCAGCACGGCAGAGACGCGGAGTTGACAAAATGGGGGGGGGGGGTTATGATCCACCGCATCGAACATAAATGAGGGAAACGACAAGAAGAGAAAAAGGAGAAAAGTAAACCTTAAGAGAGGTTTGGCGGGTGACAAAACTCAACGAAAACTAAAAACTTAACTAGTACATTTATACAATACCAAACAGTAACAAAAAGTTGATAAATTTTATCTACGCTAAAATTTATTTGTGGTTGCCCGAATGAGATAGGGACCAGTTTTGAGTTTATGTATGTGCTATCAATTCTTCTAGATAGACACCAGTTTGAGTTTATGTAAGTGCTATCAATTCTTCGTTCTGTCTGGGGACCTGCTGTCTTGACCTTGCGATCTCTAATGTCCGATGGGATCTGAAATAAAAGAGTGCAGTAAGATTTCGATTTGATGCCTAACAGTTTGTCTACAATACAACTTATTAACAACCTTTTTGAATTTCCAAACTTACGACTTTAACACCAGCCTGTTTTTCTCAGTGTTCTTGCCTTTCCGAATGACCTGAGGATATGAACCCCATGATGGCTCCAACAGCTTCCAGACTACTCCTTGCTTCGTATTCAGATTTGGCTCTATCTAGTCTCAACTCATTTTTCATCTCGGTTCGAAGGAAACGCATGACTATGGAGTCTTCTCAAGAAACTCGACAGAAGACTATCTAGTCTTCATCGAGCCTTCTTCTCTCTCCAGAATGTCAAATTAAAAAAAAAATTCTCCATCGGGTGTCAAGAAGAGGTTGTAGGACAGTTCCAAAGCACATAACAATCCTTCTCCTGGCTAGGCTGAAACCAGTTTCGTCGTGATTTATGTCAAGAGGTCTTAAAAAGTCAAACTTTTGCTCCCTAACTTCTTTTTTTTTATGTGACATCAAGTTTTCCAAGGTCACTTTAGTCGTTACACACTTCGCTGACAAGGGAGTCTCCGTCTCATTCTCGAGAAATATCCTTCAAATTGTTTCGCCCAGAATTAGCACGTTAATTTCTTCTCTACAGACTATTCAACTCTAGATTTTTAGTACTCAAGATTGTTTTTCCTCAAGATTGGATTCGAGTGACTCAAGATTTTTTAACTCAAGCTTCATGTAATGCGGAACACTCATTGCATTCTTCCCTAATGTCATCTCTGGTACCTTTCAGTTCAAAATCGGGTTGTATTTTTTCAGTTTTGATCTGAAAAATAAGTAGGAGTTTGACTAAACTCAACACTCGTGAACTAATCTCAAACCCGTTTCATCATGTATTGTGCCAATATGTCACAAAAACGCAGATTCTTGTTCCCAAACTTCACTTTGTCATGTCGCAGCAAGTTGCCAGCGTAATTCTTGATATGCACCAACGCACAGCAGTTTGACTTCTGTTCTGCAGAAAAAATTCACCCAAGACTCTTCGCTGACCAAATGTTCCTTGTCTCATTTATGAAATAACCCTGTAAGTGCTTATCCCAGATTTCAGCCAGGTGGCACCTTCACTCCAGACTATTCAATTCTAAATTCTTTAAACTATGATTATTTTGCCTCAAGATATGAGTTTGAGTGTTTTTTTTTTTCAGCTCAAGCTTCATGGAATGCGGAATACTGATTGCGTTAATCGCTATGGTCCTTTCTGGTATCTTTCAGTTCAGTTACTGGTTTTATGTGTTTCAAGTTTGATCTGAAAATTGCATTAGATTAAGATTTGCGTTCGCACCTTCTGTAGCAAAATATCTGGCTTCGTTTGATTAAAAGAAAACGGTGATCACCGATCAACCATCATTTTAACGCAAAAATCTTTTTCTTTAAATTTATTTCCGAAGAATACTCCTTTTATAAAACACTAAACAGAATTTCAGGTTTGATCGTGATTCTAGCACTTGAATTGTTTTAATATATACTCATGCATACAGTGAAAACTCATTAGATTTTATCTTAGTGTGGCCTAGATCAATGGCCACTTTTTTATTCTCATGGAACTCCAGATTTAATATCTCGCTCAGGAGTGACCTCCAAGAGTCCATTTTTAATTGTTAAGCATCGAGCTCAAGTCGCTTCTCATGTCATTTCTCATGCGATGTTCAAGTAATTCTTCCGAGGAAGATATAACGTTATCTTGCTTTCCGCAAAGATTACCTGTAAATTGGCATAATTTCACCCCGGCTTCAGTTTACCTCTGTTCGGATCATGATTAGGTATTGATAGTTTTTGCCTTCTCTTTTCGACCGGGAATTTACACAGACGAGAAAGTGCCATGTCACTACGGGTACTGGGTCTATGATAGTCTTGTCACGCTTAGCACTGAAAAACAGAGATACTCATCAGTAGTTTGTGAAACTATGAGAGGAGATTCAACCAATCCACTAACTCCCGGTTTCTACTAGAGCAGGAAATTCCAATTTAGGTAATCATTTCCCAAAATTGCGTTTAATTTTGTCTTGAAGCTCATATCTTGCTCATAAATGGTTTGCCTCATTGCAATTTTGGTGCGCAATAAATTATTATGCGGGACCTGCCGCTTACGCGTGCCATCAAAACCCCTTTTTTTGCTCGTTTGTCCCAAACTGACCGATGTTGTTTCAAACCCCCATAACTTTTCAAAACAATACTAAAGGTGATGTTTTTCACATTTGATCTTTAGATAACAATTTTTTCCGCTTAATTCAAAATTTTTCGTCACAAAAAAAAATCGAACTTTGAGTTAAGAAAATCGAAAGAAAAATCATAATAATTGCCGAGTCGCAATTTTTATACAATGGTATTACTTTTTTTTTCGGTGTCATTGCGTCCACAACATGGCGTCATCGCCCGAAACCCAACAATCTATTAAGAAACTGATTCAACCTACACTGACTACGTTGTCGGGCAGCCATGGCCCAGAAGCGCAGCCTTGGCTAAGTGGGTAAGACGCGCGGCCTTTAACATAAAGATCGTCGATTCGATGCCCGCTTCATTTGCGTTTGGAAGGTTCCTAGTGTTATCCCCCTCCTCAACGTGGGACCGGCTGCGGCAAAAGTGACGACATCTCTCTCCTTCACGTAAGAAAAGGCGCAAGCTTGAATGGTCGTAACTGGGCCGGGCTAATAAAAAAATCCGGCCAGCCCCCACAGCTCATTAGCCTCATACTTTGTTTTTAATATTTGAAGTTGAATCTGATACTTCTGTTGTTTCGTTTGTATGAGGTTGAAGTTCGACGCAACTGCTCACTATCATAGAAGTAATTTTTTTTGGGTTATATTGGAATTTTTTTGTCTGGTTCAACTTTTCTAAGTTATGGGTTTCTGAAGCCTACAAGTTAACAGGGGTAAACTGGAAAAATTCATGGAGTATCTGTTTTCTTGTGGTATATCGACGTCTTTGTCGAAAACCCGCTTACTTCTGTAACTTCTGGAGCGGATCGCTGGAAAAAAATTCTATTAAAAAAACTTATGATGTTTCGATAATATAAACTCAAATGTTTTCAATTTTAATTAAATCTAAATTTTTTTCAAAATGGCACGTGTTAGATGTTTTAGGGAAAAGATAAAAATTGTTAGCCAAACTTACTTGATTTAAATCAATTTTTCAGTGATCAGTGATAAAAGTTGAATGCCATTTTTATTGTGGATCTTCTATCGCTCCCCAACCTTTTTTCATTCCCTCACCCCAAAATTTGAAATCAATTTTGAAAAGTCATTTTAACATTGTTATAATGCATTCAAATTTGGAAAGGCGAACAAACAAACTAACTATCGTGAACAGATTCTTTCTTCAAACTCTAAATCGTAACATCACGCTTTTATTACTACAAAACACTAACAATAATACCTAATAATGCAAAAAAAAACAACTCTAAAAACGGGAAACTTGAAATATGGGAAGGGTCTTGAAAAAGAGCCCGTTCGACTCCCTATCTAATTTTCTTGTTTTTCTTTAATTTTTTTAATATGTAATTGTCACAAAAATGTCATATGACTAACAAATTTACTTACAATCAGAGTTTATCTTCATATATGGTCTCGTAAAATCAATCTTCAGTGGAAGGAAACGGTAGAAGATCCTTATTGATTTTTTATGTTGTATATTTATATTATTTGGGGACTCATTGTTTAATCGGAAGCTAAATTATAAGTGACGAAATGTATATATCAGCGAAGAAGAAGCACAAGTCGAAGACTAAAAACCTTCTGTCGACACAGTACGATTCAGGTAGCATTAAACAAAATAATATACGTATGGGCATTTTTTCATTTTTCAACAAAAATTTTATTTTTTCTAAATTTTAGTTTTATACGATATTATGGTTGAATGCGTGACTTTTTGGATGTAAAATGTGAAAAATAATTATATTCATGGGATTAACCGTACAATATGCCCCCTCTCCTAGGTGACCTATCGTAGAATGCCCCCCCCCCCCCCCCCTCCAAGCATGTATTTCTGAAAAATAATTCTGTATAAATTATGGGCTCTTTTTCCTTTCCCCCCCACCTGCAAATTTTTACGTGTAAATTTGTTGACTACATTGTCCGATTGCTATGAAAATTTACATACAGGCTAATAAGGCCACGACAAACATATTTGGTCTTAATACTCAACCTCGTAAAACCACTCCTTACACTAATATATTGAAGGTCGTGTGAGGTGGGGATGGGGGGGGGGGGGTAGGAGGAAAAAGAACCAAGTTATGGACCAAACAAACATATTTGGTCTTAATACTCAACCTCGTAAAACCACTCCTTACACTAATATATTGAAGGTCGTGTGAGGTGGGGATGGGGGGGGGGGGGGTAGGAGGAAAAAGAACCAAGTTATGCAATTGAAAATGTTCATACAATCTTGTTTTTTGATAGGCTAAATGCATTTGAATCGACTCTTTGGCTCTTTTTCCTTTGCTCGGACAATCGGACAATGTGGTCAACAAATTTACATGTAAAAATTTGCAGGTGGGGGGGGGGGAAGGAAAAAGAGCCGTAGTTGCCATGGCCTTATTAGTGCGTATGCCTTTATTCATAATAATCAAATAATCTGAACCACTTTTCCATTTGTAAAGTTTTGAAGGTGGGGGGGGGGGGGGGGAGGAAAAAGATTAACTTTTTATTGTTCCGCCGATAACTCAATCTTGTTAGTAAGGTGATATCAGAGTTATTTTATAAAAATAAACTCGTATTTTCTCCCCCTAACTCGATTTGGGGAGGGGGAGATTGTACGGATTGATCCTGTTCATGAAAGCAAATTTTTTGCTGGCGAAGTTTTATTGCTGTGATAGAGCGTTGTTTGGGTAGTGGAGAAGGGTCTTCTTCGTTTGTTCCGACTTTCGAAGAAAAAGGCGGAATATTTGTGCTCGGAGCGGTTTTTTTCTACAGGCAAATTTCGACTTTTAATTAGTCAATTTGATCCTGTCATCGTTTTTCTTAAAGTTATGGCGGTTGAAAGATGGCCAATTTGGCCAATTTGGAATTATAAATGCGCTATATATTTTGTGCTATTAACGCGTAAGAGGAGATTTAATCCTTAACCTCTCCCGATTAAATTGAGGCATGCTTTTTAGTTCTCAGCTATATGCTAAATGTATTACTTCGTACTTTACATGGCTTGTGGGCGTGTTTTCACAAAAAAAAAACAAATTCAAATTTTTTATGAACGTTTCATCAACTTTTTCTAAAGTAAACACTTTTCCATAGACTTTAAAGGGGCATTCAGGCTCTTTGCCAGTCCCCCTATTGATTTTTTGGAATTGTATTATAAAAAAAGCTTATTTAAAATGACTTTTCTTGATATAAAATGCATTAAAACGTGTCAGCGTAAACAGGTGAACAAATTTTCACAACATTTCTTTGATGCAAAATGTCGTGAGAACAAATTTTCAATAGCTTTATTTTGAATTCTTATGAGTTACGAGGGGGTGGGAAACTGGAAAATAACCGGCAGTCGGAACATTCAAGGCTACGCCCTGATACGAGATGCTTTGTTTTGCTTAATGACTCTTTATATCTTGAGTTTTATGCAGAAATCATTTAACGAGGTAAGAAGAAAAATCTAAAATCGTTAGCCTCAAAGATTGCGGTTGCCTCAATAATCAAACGAAACTCTCCGATTTCCATAATCTAGGTATAGCAAAAATTAGCAAAAATAACGTTTAAAAAGGCCTTATAATTTGAAAAACAAATTATTATGTCAGTCTGAAAAACAAAAAAAAACTGAGGCAAAACTGAAACAACTAAAAGTTGCTTCCGGAATCCAAAGTAGGTCTTTTCTCCATCACTCTCCCCAGCTCACAATTTTATTCCTCCGACTTTATTATCGAAAGTAACGGAATATTTATGCTTGGGTGGTTTTTTTTCTTCAGACTAACTTCGACTTTTTAACTAGCAATTTATTACGGAGTTTTTTTATTCATTCAAAAAATAGTGTTGTCCTGAGCCTAAATTTGAAATGATATTTCCCTGTGATCTTTTTTTGTAAGGTTATGGCGGCTTAAAAATTGCCATTTTTGCCAATTAGGGACAATTAACGCGCGATTTATTTCGTATTTTGCGCTACTAACACGTAGGCGGCGATTTAATTCGTCTTAGAAATCGTTCCAAGTTGGTTAAACGAAGGTTATTTGCCATGATTGATTTGTTACAAGGAGCGAAACCTATCACTTTGAATTTTATTTTGCGTGTGGGTGGATAATTTTCCCATAAAATCTCAAATTAAAAAAAAAAAATTCATTTTTTTATTACATTTAAATTTTTCATTTTATTACTGCTCCCTAGACTTTATAAGGTAGTCGGAATATTCAGGGGTTTGCCCTGATACGAGCAGTCTTGTTTCAGTTTTGAGAATCTTTTTTCAACCTTGTCAGTCATAATATAATGACATCATGTTGCAATATAACTCGTCTAATAAGATTAAGTGATAATTCATACATTTCATCGTAACATCAAGCATTTTCCGGCTCTTTTCCAGTTCGCCCTTTTCAAAATATCGAACCTTATGATTGTTTTACGTGTTATTAGGGCTAAACGCATGATGTTACGATTTCAAATTTGAAGAACAAATCTGTTCACAGATGTCAATTTGTTCACCGCTCCAAATTTCATAGCATTATGGCAACATTAAATAAGGTTTTCCTAATTGAATTTGAAAGGGGGAAACTGGAAAAGAACCTATTCGCCATAAAAATACCAATTAGGGAGCATTGGGAGAAAAAGTTCAATTGAGAGCATTAGTGCTTCAATGTGGTTCTGTTTTTGACATTCTATGAGCTAGTCGGATCGGCTTTTTTCCAGTTTCCCAGCCCCCTCGTAAAATTACAAAAATAGCTGCTCAGAAACTGTTCACACGGAATTTTGCATGAAAAAATATTGTAAAAAATTGTTCACTTGTTCACACTGACACGTTGTAAGTCAGTTTATAACCAATAAAGTCATTTTGAATAGA